TCCATGTACAACCCTCCACTGGAGGTCTGCTGTCCGTTTTTCAACGGGCAGCTTGTACATGCACCTCCAGCTGCCTCTCGGGGAAGAACCTGGGCCAAAGAACTCGGTCCACCTCGACTCTGTCAACCCTGCCAGAGAGCGGAGGTTCACAACCTTTACACAGATTTCATAGATAGCTTTTTTCTCTGCTGCCTGAAACTTGTCCAGGTGAGGGGTTGTGAACGTCAGCAGCTTGTTTCCTCCCCCCTGCCAGTCCCCCACCGCTGGGGCAATGAGCAGAGTGGAGAGGGTGTACTCACTCTCTTCATCCCATTGGTCAGACAGAGTACAGTTTCCTGCAACTGCTCTCAGGCGTTGTGGCAGGGCGGCACAGACCTCCTCCACTATTCTATTGGTCAACCTGACAGACGTGATGTTAGTGTTCTGCCTGAAGGTGACCATAGATGCTGCTGTTAATGACATCTTCACCAAATGTCCCAGTTTAGTGCAGCCGGCTTCTCTCAGACGCGTTCTCAGTCTGGCAGACTGCAGCGTTTGGGTTCTAATGAAGCTGTTGAAGAACAAAGGTTCCTCCAGCAGCCACACGCCCGGAGTCTCATCAGCTTTACGTGAAATGTTAAAGATCTGCCACGCCTGCAGAACAGAGCCGTAGAACGGCGTCAGCCCGGCCAAGTCCACTTCCTCAGGTTGTAGGACAAAAAGCTGCTTATCATATCCCAACCGCCCAGCTCTCCTCAGCAGCAGTCGAGCCGTGTCCATCCAGCTGGGGCCACAGCCATAGAGCAGCTTCTGTGCAGTCCGGAGTCCGAAAGAGGCGATCCTGGACTGGATATCGATGAGACCTTGCCCCCCCTCTGCCACAGGCAGATAGAGAGCTGCTGCACGAACCCAGTGCCGGCCGGACCAGAAGAAGTCCACGACAGACCTCTGTATCTCTGCTATGAGGCCTCCAGGTGGCGTCAGAGCGATGAGTCTGTGCCACAGAGTCGAGGCAACCAAATCATTAGCAACCAGAACTCTTCCCCTATATGACAACTGGGGTAGTAACCATCTCCACCTAGAGAACCGAGCACACACCTTCTCCTTAACTCCCTCCCAGTTCTTTTTCTCAAAAACCTCAGAGCCCAAAAACACACCCAGCACTTTTAGACCTTCTTTTCCCCACTGAAGACCTCCAGGCAGATGATGCACCGTCTGATGTCTCCACTGTCCCACCAATAAGGCTTCAGATTTTTCCCAGTTCACCCGTGCAGATGAAGCCCTCTCATAAAGAGACAAAGCATCCTGCAGACATAGAACATCTCCCTGGTCCCTGATGAAGATGTTTACATCATCAGCATACGCAGACACAGCGAGGGGACTACAAAGACTGGAGGACCCAGGCAGTGACAGACCACTGAGCCGACTTCTCAGCCTGCACAACAGAGGCTCAAAAGCGAGGCTGTATAGTTGCCCTGAGATAGGACAACCCTGCCTTATCCCTCGCCGTACAGGGATCGGTCGACTCAGGCCAGCTCCCATTTTGACCATACATTCAGCACCACTGTACAGCAAACCCACCCAAGCCAAGAACCCATCACCAAGCCCAAAAGCCCTGAGTGCAGAAAACAGATATGCGTGACCCACCCTGTCGAAAGCCTTCTCCTGGTCTAGTGAGACAATACCAACATCTACATCGTGAAATTTACATACATCAAGCACATCATGGATGAGAAAGATATTGTCCATAACTGTTCTATCTGGGATACAGTACGTTTGGTCACTATTTACAACCACTTCCAGGTAGTCTCTTAGTCTGTTAGATAAGGCTCTGGAAAGCACCTTATAGTCTGTACAAAGCAGGGCCACTGGTCTCCAGTTCTTAAGAAGGGCCAAGTCGCCCTTCTTGGGCAGCAGGGAGAGTACTTCCCGCTGGCATGAAACAGGAAGTGATCCTGTTTTAAAACATTCCATCAAAACAGAGTGTAAGTCAGAACCGATAATGTTCCAGAATTTCTTAAAGAAATCCGAGGAGAGACCGTCGATTCCCGGAGTCTTTCCTGAAGCCATCTGTTTCACTGCAACCCTCAGCTCCTCCAGCGTCAGCTCTCCGTCCAGCGTAGCCCTCTCTGCTGGACTGAGCTGGGGAAGACCTTCCAGGAGCTCCCTACTGCTCTCCGTACAGGATTGCTCTTCCCCAAAAAGAGCAGCGTAGAAGCCCATGGCATGGGTCCTCATCTCCCTCTGGTCAGTGGTTATCCTGCCTCCTGGGAGCTTCAGACAGGTCATCCGCTTCCTCTGCGCCACCGATCTCTCCAGGTTGAAGAAAAACGAGCTTGGGGCATCCATGTCCTTCAACTGGAGGAAACGGGACCTGACCAGAGCTCCTTTCACTCTCTCTTGCAGGAAGGAGCTCAACTCCAACCTCCTCTCCTTCAGCAGCTGGCCCACACCGGGATCTGGGTCTCTCTGGAAGCCCTCCTCAATGATCTTTATGTTGGCTTCAAGGTCTTTAACAGCAGACTTGATTATAGCGGTGGTGTTTGAGGTGTACTGCTGGCAGAACACACGGATCTGCGCTTTTCCGACTTCCCACCACTGTTTCAGAGAACTGAAACAAACTTTTTCAGTTTTCCACTGCTGCCAAAGAACCCCAAAACTCTGACAAAAAGTGCTGTCCTGTAGAAGTTTATTATTAAAATGCCAGTAGGAGCTAACCCTTTCACCTGGTGAGGTTATCAAACCTAAACTGACGAGGTGGTGATCGGTGAACCCAACTGGACTGATTGTGCTGTTCTTCAGTCTGGAACTGAGACTGCGAGAGATGTAAATTCTGTCCAGCCTGGCTGCACTGATCCTGTCCTTGCTGACTCTAACCCATGTGTACTGTCTGTCTAATGGGTGTTTTATTCTCCACGTGTCCAACAGATCTAAGTGTGTGATGACGTTGTGGAGACTCTGAGCTGACTGTGGGTGTGGTTCCTCACTGTTCCGGTCTATGGTGAAGTCTAGAGTACAGTTAAAATCCCCTCCGATGATCAGTTGCTCCTGATGGCAGCTCTGCAGTTCGTTTTGCAGCGTAGTGAAGAAGCGTGCTCTTTCTGGCCCCTGATTCGGTGCATATATGTTCACGAAGCAGTAAAGCGAGCTCTCTATCTCTGCCCTCACCATCAGCAAATGACCCTTCACCACCTCAGTGACAGACAGGACGGTTGCGTTAGCTGCTGTTCTAAACAGCACGGCTACCCCGGCACTAAGATTGGTGCCGTGGCTCAGGGTGCATGAGCCCTCCCACCATAAACCCCAGTCTACTTCATCTGTTGGAATGGTGTGAGTTTCTTGCAAAAAGAGGATGTCCAACATTTTTTGATTTACAACCTCCTGTATTAATGCTCTTTTATGCCCGTCCCGCCCACCATTGATGTTTAAAGACCCTAAATTGAAGCTCTGCATAGAAAGGTCAGAGGATGGAAGGAGGTAAGACAAGATAAGTAAGCAGTGGAAAGTGGAAACCCCCGTGTGACACATGATCATGTTAAACTGTCTTAGTTTTCTGAACTCTTCCACTTTTCCTTACTTTCCTCAAGATTGTGATGTGTTTCTTTAGGCGGAAGCGCTTTTTTCCATCTAGAAGGTCCAAACCCACCTTTCTCTGCACCACCCCAACAGATCGTATGAACTTCTCAATGTCAGGGAAATAATCACTCACTTTTGCAGATCTATTGTAAGTTACATCCAAAAACGAGTTTATTTCCTCTAGTGAATACAGATCAGTGCTTTTAATGCACGTTTCAGAATTAGATGCAACATCTGATTCACTCTCATACTCCATGTCCTCTCCTTCACAAGACAGCTGGCTGTTGGACACAGACCCTACACTCTGTGCTTCATCTAAGGCTATGGTGAGATCTCCACCTGCTGAACCTGTAGCTGCCTCTTCACAGACTTCTACCGACTGTGGTGGTGCTTCGGTACCACATGTAGTGAGGTTCTGCGCCACCACAGAAGCCTGCTGGTTGTAAGACTGGCCCTGATCCTCCTTATCGACATTATTGTTATCAGCAGAAGACGAAGAAAAGCCGCCGCGGCACCAGCAGGAACCGCCGACCACACCAGCGGGAGCCGCCGCGGCCGCAGGCTCCGCGGCCGGAGGCTCCGCCTCCGCGCCTCTGTGCTGCTTGTGCGGGCACGCGAAGCGTTTGTGTCCTACATCTCCACACTCAAGCATTTGAGCTAGCGTACACCATGTATGAACCCTCCCCGTGTTTAACCCTGAAGGACACCTCCAGTGTTTGTGTAGGTGACTCCAGGAACATGAAGACCTGCCGCCTAAGAGACAGCACGTGCTTCAGTTTGGGATCCTTACACCCCAAACTGACTGCTCGTTCGGTATAAACGGCTATCCGGTGGAACTACCCGGACTCCCTGCCGGATTGACGGGCGTGGCGTCTCTGAGGACGCCATCCTCCAGAACAACGCCAAACACCACTAATCACACAATGAAAATACAATCAAACCTCCGCGCCACTCTCACGTCCACCACTCACACTCACACGCAACCGGAAACAGAGAGAGAGGAGAGGAGAGAAGAGGAGAGAGAGAAGAGGAGAGAGAGGAGAGAGAGGAGAGAGAGAAGAGGAGAGAGAGGAGAGGAGAGAGGAGAGAGAGGAGAGAGGAGAGGAGAGAAGAGGAGAGAAGAGGAGAGGAGATAAAGGAGAGAGAGGAGAGAAGAGGAGAGAAGAGAGAGGAGAGAGGAGAGAAGAGGAGAGAGAGGAGAGAACAGAGAGGAGAGAGAGGAGAGGAGAGAGGAGAGAAGAGGCTGGAACATGATGTCATCATAATGTGTTGTTCTGCACTACAGACATGTTCTAGTTCTCTCTACTTCTACTCATGATGGTTCTGTTTCTATAGAGGAGCAGGACTTTTATTTTGAAGAGAAAAACAAGACCTCAGAGAGAAACACGTGACATTAAAAACACCGTGTTGTTATAATAAATGTGATAATCTCTGTGTGTCTGCAGGATTATCTCGGCTGCATCATCGACTGCGGTTCTCTGCCTCTGAAGCCGGAGCAGGTCAGCACTCTGTTCTGTAACATCGAGGACATCTACGAGTTCAACAGGTACCACACACACACACACACACACACACACACATCTTCACCGCGGCGGTGTGAACAGGAAGTGCATGTTTCATTTAATTGGTGGCTTTGAGTTTCTGGAAAATATCTCTTGTAGGTAAGAGAGAGAGAGAGAGAGAGAGAGAGAGAGAGAGAGAGAGAGAGAGAGAGAGAGAGAGAGAGAGGGAGAGAGAGAGAGAGAGAGAGAGAGAGAGAGAGAGAGAGAGAGAGAGAGAGAGAGAGTGTTCAATTCCCACTGGGACCATCCCACGATTAAAAATAATTTAAAAAGTTTAATGGAAGCCAGCAGCATATGAGCTCATATGACACGTTACAGAGCGGCTCTGCTTGTTTCTGTGTCACGCTAGTTTGAGCCTCGTGGTGCGTTCATATGCAGTCAAACATTCCGGCGTTCTGCAGCAGTGCATCATGGACACACTGACGTCCACATTGTGCAGGTCGCTTTGCTCTGTGTGTGTGTGTGTGTGTGTTGGATTCACAGCGAGGCGTTCAGGAGCAGCGTGTTTTCCTCACGCACACATGGACAGAATTCAAATGATTGGAAATTTGTTTTACTGATTTCTGTTGGGATGAAAAGAGAATTTTTAGCAAATATTACAAATATTAGACTACCAACTCTAGCTGTGTGTGTGTGTGTGTGTGTGTGTGTGTGTGTGTGTGTGTGTGCATGAAGGGGGAGGGGGGGGGGGGG